CATTTCTCAAATTCAGGGTCTGTCTCTTCGGGTTTCACTTTACTATTTGTAAGATACCCGGGTTTTTCTCTACTACAGATATAAATTCTTATAGACTGTGCCCAAGCAAGATAATTTGTCCCATCTAGCTTGATTGTGGTCACACCAATCAAAACGGAATCTACAGCCAAGGCCGGAAACCGGCACTTGTTTGAACTCACTTCCGTATGGCTCCATTAATCAAACGAAAATAAAAGAACTAGAAATTTGGTCTATATAAACTTACTTGAAGTCAAACCAGAACCTAGATGCTTGAAAACTAGGGTTTTACTCCGTCCAATTGTTGGGGAGGAAGAAAGAAGATGCAGCCGCTCCTACCAGAACTTCCCAATCTCTTCCAAACCTGAACCGCCCTCCTTTAGGAGTCAAAAGACACCTCCCAAGCACAGAGCGCCACACCCAAAGCTTCACCTTTACCTGTACCTTCGAAAATCTCTAGTTGGCTAGGGTTTTGGGCAGCAACAGAACAACACCACTTCTTGGCAATATCCAGCCTGATTTAAACTCTCCAAACCCTCTACCAACTAGGCCAGATATCCTCTGAGCTATAGAGAACCTATCTCTCCATACACTCTCTTAATCTAAGGGTGTATGGGAAAAGAGGAAGAAGAAAAGAAGGAAGAAAGAAACCTGCTCTGATACCAAGATGTAAACCAGTCCTAAAAAATAGGTGTAAACTTGAAAAATTAGAGAGAAAAAGGAGGAAGAAAAGTAAGAGCAGCAATACAAGAGAAGAAGATGGAGAAAAGAGGAGGAAGAAGAAGAAAGGTTCGAATGATTTCCCTTTCTTCTCTAATCCTTTTTACTAAAAATTAATGTTAAAATAATTACAAGTATGCCCTTAAGTGGGCGATCAGCTAGGCAGTAACATAAAGAGATCAAACAAAAAGAAATAACAGGCCCATTAAGAGAGGCCCATTAGCTAACAGGAAAATAGAAAAAAATATTACAAGAGAAGATACTAGGACCCATTCGGCCTAGTCTCTTTACAGTTAGCAAATAGTTTGGCTGATGTGTTAGCCAGACAAGGAGTAAACAGGGATGAGTTTTTTGGGCTGTGCTGTAATTCTGAGTTTTTTCAGTGTTCTAGTACCCTATTCTAAGGGGCTGAACCTTTATACCTTTTATCAAGTTAATTTAATGAAAGTTACTGTTTCCTATAAAAAAAAGAGTTTGGGAAAAGTTTCAATGTTGGCTTCCTTACCTGACACGACCCTCCTTTACCTGGGCTTGGGACTGGTAGTTTAAGTTTAAGACAAACAAGCTTACACTTGTGGAATTGAATACTGGACTATATATATCCTAATCAAATACAGATTCTTGCCCTTCCTTTTTTCCTTAGATTAAATAATTTCTTCTTGTGACTTGGAATACATGTATAAGTAATATATGTATTTTTAAGTATTTGATGCTTTAAATTTCTATACAGTAATTTGCATTTTATCAGTTTTGATCATTACATTGCCATTGATTCAACCAGGATACAGTTATCATTATCATACTTGCCTTGTCTATTCTCATTCCCTAAGATTGATGTGCCCTTATTTAGATCAGATTGCGCATATTTTACTGTTGATTCTTGTTAAGCTTTGGGTTTACTTTAGAACATTGGTGGCAAATGGTAGGACCATAGATCAATTATGTCAGTGTGGTTGATGTTACACTTGCTAGGTCGTTTGTGCCCTCTAGGTGTTATTAATTTCAACTGATTTTTCATTCCTTTTTGGTGAATATGAAAGGTGAAACCATAGCATTTATTAGATTGCGCTCATTGGTCCCATACCCATATTAGAGATGTTGCAGTTATTTTTCCAGCAGTTTGGCCTGGAGAGGCTGCTTCTCCTGACGGAATCCTTGTTCTATTTTTGGGTTGGTGGGTTGTTGAAGAAAGCCATGACCTTGACACTTTATCAAAGAAAGAATCCTTCTAGTTGCATCTTGGGATTCTATCCAAAATGAATTTACAGGCATAAATTGGGATGAAATATGTAGGAATTTGTTGGTAATTATCCAATCTTCTCCTTTTCATGAGATGCTTATCTGTTGAGGAGACAAGATTGAGATTTGATTGCAGCTTCTTAGGCATCTGGAGGCCTCTACATTTTTGAGGCTTTATTTCAAACAAATGGAATTAAAAACTGTTGCATTTACCGTATGAAATCCTGTTGTCACTAAGTTCTTGCCCTTAAGCCTTGAGATGGATTAGTCAGATCTGGATTAAATCAGAATAGAATGTATAACAAGTGGTCTGGGATTTGACAGAACATAGGTTGATGGAGACTCCCAAAAAGGAATCAGGTGGATGAAAGGGGAGACTACACTACCTTGGATGTCCCTTCATCACATTAGATAGATGTGGCCCTTGGTATACAGTGAATTTCTTGTTTTCTTGATTTGAAGGTCTGCTAATTCACTTGCTAGAGAGGTTGCTAATAGGGCTGTGTTATACTGCAATCGTACCCAAGGGGGGTAGGTTGCTTGTTCTACACATGGGTGTAGCTATTGAGAGCTAATAGTCTATTGGGTGTACCTGGCTGTCCTCAGCATATCTGTTCTTGTTTCTTTAAGAGCAGAGCTATTGGCTCTAATACAAGGTTTAAAATTGGCTTCCCCATGAATGGCTGGAGAGATCTGATTATTGAAGGTGACTGTCAAGCATGGTTTTCAAGGTGGTGAGGCGAGGTTAGGCGATGAAGAGGGTGCCTTGTGATGAGGCCAAAAAAGAAAAAAAAAAGAAACGAAAAAAGAGAAAATGTGAATGTATTTGTATGTTTTTTGTAGTAGGGTCCCAATTTTTTTTTTTTTTTTTGAGTATTTTTGTTGACAGTTTGGGTCCAGGGGTAATTTCATTATTTTATATTTCAGATTCTGGTCAAGGGCGGTTGGGTGCACATCTGTTGGGTTTTGGTCTCTTGGGTCTTTTTGTAAGAAAACTTATTTTTTGATGGTTTGTTTGAAGTTTGTTTTGTTTGCAAGGAGTTGTTTGTGAAAGGAAAACATTCTAGGGGCTTATGTGTAAATATTTTAATTGGCTTCTCCAGCAAGCCATTGAGTCTTATAAATAGAAGGGGGTTGTTTCTGTAGGGGTCTTTTTGGTTCTTTCTTGTTTGAGCTGTAGCTCAGCCCCAGCTAGGGTTTTCAAGTATTGGGAACTTGGGTTTTGAGGAGTCAACCCATTTTGGCACTTTCCAATCCTTCTATTGCTGTGTGTCTGTGCGAGAGGCCAGCTTGATGCCATTGTTATTGTACCGAACTGTTCCAAAAGGAGTTCTACTTCTGGTTCAAGTCTGAAATCCCTAAAAATCGAACTTGTTGTTTTCAGCTTGGTATTTCTTGTGCTTATTGCTGTACACTTGAAGTGCTGCTAGAGTCAGAGCTTCCTAGAGTGAAGCTGCCGAGACGTCAGCTGTTGAAGCGTGGTGGTATGTTACAGCCCTAAATTTTCAAGTGTTTGGCTTGATGCATTCCAACAGTATTAAAGCTTTTGGCGTATTGATTAAGCATGCAACATAATCCTTTTACCTTTTTTAATGACTTTTCTTTTACCATCAAATAAAAAAGCTCAGCAATAGATCCTTAGACACTTTCACCTCGTTAACTCATCTGTCGAACTTGACTTTGGATATGATAAAACATTAAGAATTATGTCATACTGCACCAAAGCAGCAATTCTAGAGCTTATGGGGTGAAAGAAATGCAAAAATCTTTGAGGGAAAAAATGCCTACAGGCTTATAGATCTTATCGCAGTCAGAGTTGTTCATTAGGTATCATCGAGTGCTTAGTTCAAAGGAGCAACCACGAATGAACTCCTAAGGAGATGGCAGATAGTGGCAGGGTATTCTATGAAAAGGCAGTAAAAGATACGAACATGGAGTATGGATATTTTGGAAGGTTACTAGCTGTGTAGGCCGTAGGTAACCCAGGCATGTCAGGCAGAGGGGCATAATCAGAGATGATGGGGAAATACTATTATAAGATTTTCTGGACTTGAAGGATTTGGAAATTCTTTAAGGGCAGACATGCTAGCTGCATTTTAACGTTTAGATTTTGTTGTCAGTGTGCTGGAGTTGAAGTACATGGGGGGGGGGGGTGACCAAGCAATTATAACTTGGCAAAAACCTGGGGTAAATGTGCAATGGTCTCTGCAGTTTCTGGTTAGGCAAGCATGAGTTTTGGGAACCAGTCTGAACTGCTTATTCAGGTGGATTCCCAGATGTAACTTCCTTGCTAGGGCTGGAGTCTTGGGAAAACTTATGTTGGGGTGAGCAATGACCTGGGGGTCATTATTAAGAATTTAGAGTAGTAGGTGGGTATAAGAGTAGTCAGCTTTAAGCTATTTATGTTTTTTGTATAATTAATATTTGTACTGTTATGCATTAACATATGATAGGCTTTTATAAGTATGGCCAAAATCACTAGCTAATCATATCCATGAATTGGAAGTGCTTTCGAAAATATAAGAAATTGTACTTGTTGGTTCGCTTTTTAAGGTTTCTGAGTTATTCATGGAGATTGCATAATATGATTTTTAATAATTACCTTACTTATTTGGTCCACCCGTCCCAAAACCCCAGGTAACTGCAACCGACTTGGGTAATGACCTTTTTATTTTTAATAATTACCTTAGAAAAGTGTGTTTTATTCTTGGTACATGACTACATATATGAGTTTCTTCTTCATTTTCAAGCTCAAATGACATGGATATTTTTATGAGTTTATAACCGATTATGGCATCATCTCTTGAGTATTATTTAGATGGCATATGGTACCTGTAGAACAGATTTATTTATTTATTTATTTTCCAGTTTCTGAATATTACTTTCTCTGGGAATTGATTAATTTTAGTACATTCAGATGATTGCTACTTGCTAGTTTCCAACCATTTGCTGTTTTCCACTTGCACAACTGCTTGACCTCTTGTATATCCTTTCTTATTATGAACTTCTTACTTAAAATACAGGTACAAACGGGCTTTGTTAGATAATGGGCTCACTGTGATGGTAAGTTGAAATATATTCTCCTAAGTGATTTCTATTCCTCTTTCATTTAATTTTAACTATGAATTTAGCCACCTAGTTGTTTCTTTTTTTTCCTTGTTTTTTTTTTTGATTTGCGATATGGTAAGGTGGGAACCTTAGAAAGAATATTAATTGTAGAAAGGTCTATGGTCATTTCATTCAATGTGTCAGAAATGGAACCAACCAGTGAACCAGGAATGAGGGTGGTTCCCATTAATCTGCATTTAATTTGCTTGAAGCCGGACATTAGAAAAAGGCAACACACACAGATATGTAAACTATAATACCCAAATACTGCATATGGGTGCTGTGCCATGTCTGGTGCTCGAATTTTTAGTGTGAATTCAGTTTTTCACACTATCCAGCTGTTTCCTTGCCATATCTGGGAAACATAGTTATATAAGTTGACCTTCCATCAAACATGAAGTTTGTACTAGTTTTCGTAGTAATAATGCCAGGTTTATAGATTCCATCAGGTTACAAAACTAGTTTGGTTAATTATAAAAAAAAAAAAACAGAAAAAAGAAACTAGTTTGGTTCAATTACAATAACAGCAGAGGTACCTGTCCCGGTTCAAATTTGCTTCAAAGCTCCTGATTGGTTGCTAAAACATTGGTGTCATCTGTATTTGGGGTGTATTAGAATGGCAAAATAGGATTCATGTAGGCAACCCCATATATTTGGTATAAGGCTTGGCTAAAGATGATGAAACATTATGTGTAAATCATATATGTTTATGTATATAACAATCTATACTATATATAAAAGTGTGAATGTTGTGTGAAACATTTTTTAGACTAAAATTACCCTCTGTTTTTTTTGTTTGTGAAAATGCATAAAAGTCATTTATTATAGTTTTAATGCCACCTTTAATGGCTACTATAATGGCCATATTTGCGTATTTAATCCATCTCTAAATACAAGGGTTGAAAATGCAACTTCAATTATTACTTTCCACCTCATTTAATCCTCTCTCATTAAGTCTTATACTTAAGGTATTAAAACCCATATTCTCTTATTAAATCTTATACTTTTAAGTTTTTTTTTTCACTAATTAAATTTATGTCAATATTTTTAACACTATAAACTCATATATTTTAAAACTGACTCAAAAACAAAACCATTCTTTGTCCAAGTGGTGGCTAAACAATTCAACCATCCAAATCAAATTGATCAACCTATGAAGTCATAGTTAGGTAATAAAATTTTTAAAATAGAAATAAATATAGAAATTTAGAAAAAATTGTAGAAAAAATTAGATACACATGATATTTTTATTAATCAAATTAGAAAAATAAGTATATAAACAATAATGATTTTTATTCATAATGAAAATGAATTACATAATTTAGAATTGACCAAAAATAAAATATAAAAATTAATAATAAAAAGTTCAACATTTGGGTCAAATGTATTAACCTTTAATGTCATAAATAAATAATAAAAATTAATAAAATATAAAAATACATAAATTTTGCAAAAAAAAGCATTTAGGCATATGTATAATATCATGTATTTATCATATTAAACAAAAGGTAAATATGACATATCATAATTATTTTTACACACAAAAATACAAAAAAAAAAAAAAAATTTGAACACAACTATAATTCTATATTTACACTACTATTAAAAATATGAATAAGATTGTGGAACTTTCTTTTAACTAAAATCAAGGTTTTAAAAACTGACTCAGAAACGAAACTGCTTTGGCTTTTGATTTCTGGGTCAGGGGTTCAATCGTCCAGTTTGAGTAGGTCAAATCGGTAAGATGTAAAATATAATGTAAATTTTTAATTTTACCATTAGATTAGGATTATGTTAAAGTCCATCGTATATATACATTATTATGAGAGGGGAGTGTGAGACTTTGAGAAGGAGGCAGCTAGTTAAAGTTGAGAAGCTAAAAAAGAAAGAAAAGAAGAAGAAGAGAAGGAAGCATTGCCAGAGGTGGCTGTCACCATGTTCACCAATCATTGTTGCATAACTGTTTTGCTTTGAGAAGAAGAAGCCGGTGGCGGCTATCTCCATGCTCATCATCATTGCTGCCACAACCAAGGTTCAAAGTATCGATACGATACGCATTTCGGTCGTATCGTATTAGTACTTAGAAACGGCCGAAACATCTTTTTTTTTTAAGTTTTTTTTTTCAAATTTTGTTTTTTTGGGAAGTTTAAAATGTGTTTTTTATTACTAAAAAAATTGGGGGGTCCGAAACACCTAGAAACAGGCGTTTCAGACCACATCTTGTTCAAAAGATACGATACGATACATTCGATATGGGGCGTATCGTATTGATACTTTGAACCATGGCTACAACACTGTTTGCCCTCTTCTTACATCTCTCCCATCTCTCTAAATCTCTCACAAATCCCAGATCATTTGCTTCATTGGTGACTTGGGGTGCATCTTAGATTTTAATATAAGACCGGTGTTTAAGCTCTCACCTCTTACATCGATTTTTTTATTTCTTCATTGGAGTTGCATTTTTTTTTCTATTACAACTTAAAAATAATCATAGAAATAAGAAAACTCAAAATCAAAATAGAAAATGTAAAAACCCTAACTAATTTTGGCCATCGGGAACAATTGAACAAGATTATGAAATATGAATGTTTTTTTTTATTTTTTTATTTTCTAAATTCTATTTTAAAATAAATAAAAAAATTGGAATTAGTTTGAAAGCAACACGAGAACCGTTAACCGGGTCGAACATTTTAATGGTTAAACTGTCTGGGTCAACTGTTCTCTAACCATTTCAACAGCTTTTTTTAAAATAGCGTTTCAGGGCCAAAACGGAACCAGTGACTTGACCGGTTCCCGGGCCAAAATGGTTCAATTGCTCGGTCTGGTTTTTAAAGTAGTGACTAAAATACTCATTTTTTAATTTAGTCCCTATTTAATTGTAAATTGAACTACTACTTTTTGCCTCATTCCCTCTATTTAGCTCTTACATTTTTTTTTAATAAATGAACAAAAGAAAAAGGATACAACAAAATGATAAAACACTACAAAAAGAGGAGTTTAGCCAAGCAGGTAGGCATGTCAATGATACTTGAAACTTCACAATTCGATCTGATTATCACATATTTGGATAAGGTATTTATATAATCAAATGCAATCTGCATCCGATTAATAATAAAAAACAAAAAATAAAAATGCATAAAGTTTATAGAAACTTTTGGATATATTATTACTATAATTATCATCATCTAGAATCACTACGTGCATGCTTACTAGTAATGCTAAAATATTCAAATGACATATGGGGGTCAATTCTTTCTTTTCAAATTTGACACTCATATTTCTTCCATTTTTGCTCTCACCTGCTCTTCCTCCAGTTTCTGGTCACTTAGCTGTAGTTTCATTTATAGTGAACACTCTGGACATGAGACTTGTCATTTGTTCATTTAACCCATGCATGATTTTTGTTAGCACAACAGAAAATGGTAAAAGGAAACTAGAAATTTACCATTTTATAATTTCCCTTCCATTTTTCTACATGCTTTTTTATTTTACTTTTATGTTTAATCATTGTAACTCATGTGTCTTGACATATGGCCTTCTATAGCTTCTTTGTATTAATCTGCAATATGCTTTCCAGTACAATGTTGTAACATTTTATCTTTCAAATGTAAAATGGCTTTATGGTTATCAATACCTACATTTTTTCTTATTGAGCAAATTTGACATACTCCAGGTACCATCCTTCATCAGAACAGGAGATGAAGTAGTTATTAATACAACAGATGACTCATATATCACTAGGTGAGTTCCAATGTATTGACATTCATCATCAATGACTATAAAATAATTTTTGATGATGATACATCCTTTAAATGTTGCTGCATACTTTAAGGCATGGTAGTAGCATAATATTGATTCTATCTTGTTTGAAAATATTAAATATTTGAAAAGCAAGACATTATTTAATGAAATATGCATTTACATAGATTTATCTGCACAAGTAGCAGTGGGTCATACAGTTCTCTCTCAGCAAAATACCAGTTTTGGTATTGATTAGTCATCATTCATATGTTTCTATGTTGTTTTTTTTTTTTTGAAAAATTAATGATTTGGTTACTATGATACATTTATAGGACAGTTATTATTGTTGATAGGGCTATAAATAGATTGAATTTGAATCAAATCTTATCCATCGGATTCAGATCAAACTTGGATTAGATTTGGCTATAGCATTCCATTAATTAGTTAAATTAAAAATGATAAAAAAACATGATATATCATTAACAAATTGAACTAGAAATTGCTTTGACACGATATATTACAAATAAAATGACTTTGAAGGCTTGAACCTATGAATCTTAGTTGACATAAAACATTTAAGCTAACTCTACTAATCAAGGTTCAAAGTATTGATGCGATACACCCAATACAAGGCGTATGATATCGTATCTTTGGGCCCCGATACACCTGTTTACAACCTCTTTATTTAAAACTAAAATTTGAAAAAGGAAAAACTAAAAAAAAGTAATATCGGTTAAAGTGGTGTATCGATACTTTGAACCATGCTGTTAATAATTATATATGAATTTTATGTGTGTTATTGGAATGGATTGCATCAGATAGGATTGGGGTAGATACATTCTTATAAACGGATTGGACGTGGAAGTCTATACTTTATTCTGATGCAATCCACATATTAGATCCAAATAATTTTTGTTTGTGAAAGTCTATACTTTATTCTGTTCAGTTGTAATTTTTCTTTTGGCAATTTAGAAGCACATATTGCAACTCCTTTGTTTTCCTGAAATGAGTTGTGCTGCAATTTTTGTTTCTTCCTGAAAATATAATGCGCGCGCAGTTGTGCTGCAACACACGCATGCGGTATGGGTCTTTTCCTGAAATGAGTTGTTATCCTTTGTTTCTTCAGGGCTAAGGAATAGTGTGATGTTGTGCTGCAATGTGATTATGGTATATGGAGAAATTGGAACCAATTGCAACTCCTCTTCGTCACAACCTTCCATGGATATCCTGATAAAGAGCACTGGTTCAAATCTCAAATACGGCAACATTATTTATTTAGGTACGTAAAACGTTAAACGTCCATTGTTGCAGCTGGACTTAATTTTTAAGGTGAATAGATAGGAAGAAAAAGTTGCGGCTTAACATTGAGATATTCTTGGTTATTTGTTGTCATTATTCAACAGACGCCCTATTTTGGTAAAAGTTTTGTGTCTTGACGAGTAGTAAAGGAAGATTAACATATTAAAATTGCCTTTTCTTCTTCGGGGTTGTTTCCAATATGTATGGTTCTTTTTTTCTTTTCTTTTTGTCTCTTTTTTTTTTCACCTTCCCTTGGTCCTCTTGTTCTGCCTATTATTTGTTTTGTACATTATGGCTCGTTCGCTTTTCGGTAAATTATTTACTCGGATAAATACAATTATCTGGATAAATACACTTACCCACCCATGTTCTTTTATTTCCTAAGTAAAAAAGGAAATAACCATTTTAGTTATAAAAATCCATTATTAAAAGGGGTATTTTTGTCCCATTCAAGTGTTGGCAACTTATTCACCTAGGAGATGGGTATCTAGGAAAATAAGCTTTCCCTGGTTCCTTACATTAATCTGAAAAAAGAACATGAGATTTTTTGGTCAATAGGAACCAAAATCCCATTGACCAAATTTCCCCCCTCTCAAAATCCAAAAAAAAAAAAAGAAAAGAACGCCCCCTATATGTTTTTCAATGCAAAGCGGCACTGGCCCTTAACCCTATAATTGTTTTGACAGAAAATAAGAAACGGATAACTGGGGTTAGGATAATAGCGATGCACAGGCCCACTGGTGTACATATCAGAACCAGCCTTAGTGGGAGGGATGCCAACTGACCCACCTAGGCTACACAAGCACAACTGGCCATCTATGGGCCAGATGCTTCCTCAATACAGTTGATGTTAACATCCAGCAGTTTGAATGAATTAGTCGTCTTTTGAGCTTAGTCAAAATGTTGATCAGTTGGGAGAGAACCATCTAATTGATTTATCATTTTGTAAGAGCTAGAAAAGGAAACCCCCATTTTTGTTTATTGAACAGCCAAATGTTTTTGTAGACGTGATTCAATTGATCTTATTATGGGCTTCTGTCTATCCGAGGTTGGTCGTTAGTTTAACTAGATGATATGGATATCAGATGGCCAACTACTCATGGACCGTGGCGGATAGTGTGGAATACAAAAATGAACATAGTTTGTTATCTGTGGAGTTATTCCCTGGATTTCTTTTATAGGGGCGCTATTGAAAAGTATGTCCCCTGGAGCTTGACAAAAGAAATATACTTACTGAATTAATAGCAGGAAAAACACAGATGCCTTTATTTAAAGATCAGAGACAACAAGGAACCTCAGTTTTATAATAATATATAGTAATACTAGAACTGAAGATACACGCATAATATGGGAAACAGTACTATAACCTTAGAAATACTAGAAATGAGGCTTTAACTCCCTGGCGATTCGTTTTATTATGGGAAGGGAAACAGAGGCAGAACTCAAGGAACAGTAGAATTGACTCCTAACTCAAGTAGCTTCAGTTTCATGAAGAGGAGAAACATTGGACACCTCTGGTTTTTTAAACTTTTCAACCAACCCTGCAAAAAACAAAAGACCAGAAAAGAGAAGTCCATAAAAAAAAAGAATCAGGAAAGATCTTTGATGAAATCCTAGGAATTTGGTGAATAAAATTGAAGTAGAAAAAGTTAATGTAATTACTTAGAGCAATCTACTGTGGATGAAACTTTGAAAGGCAAGCTGATTCCACAGTTTCCTGGCAGAGCCTGAGCTAATTGTGGGTTTGGGTTTATTCTCTGAGATGCCGACTTAATGCAGGCGCAAGCAGCTCTCTTGTCAGCAGGGGTTGTTGCAGCGGATGCAAGCTGGGAAGCTCCAGCACAGCAAGCACTGGGTGGCATCCCAGAGCCGTTAACCAGGTAATTCACACAAGGCCTCAAGTACTTAATGACATCGCTGCACGTAATAGCAGCCTCTGAAGCTTGTGCAAAGAGGAGAAGCATCAGAACAGCCATTGCTGTGACTGCAATTCCTGAGGGCTTCATGGTGAGGGAGAGGGAGACTGAAGAAACTCTGACTTGAGGTGTGTTGCAGATTTGCCATGGTTCTGGTTTTATAGTAGATTTGGAGGGAAGCTCATCGGTGCAAGAAAAGTAGAAAATTTCTTTTAAAAAAAGTAAGATTAGTTTCATTGAGTACAAGAAAGAGAAAACAAATAAAATTAATGTATTTTAATAGTTGTTTCTTATCAATAATGTTTTAAAAACCGACCTGGAATCGGAACCGTTCTAGCCATTAGTTTTCGGGTCAATGGTTCGACCATCCAGTTCAAACGGGTGGTCCGTTCTGACAAAAAAAATAAAAACTTACAATAAAAATGGTCAAAATGTGTTGAACGGGTCGATGGTTTAACCACCCAGGTCAATGAATTATTAACCAATTTAACGATTTTTGGCCAAACAATCCGACCGTCTGAGTCAACAACAATTCGAAAACATTGCTTATCAATTCTAGGGTTCAAATTAACAAAAAAGAATGATTTACACTAGTCAAAATTCGGTGGGAAAGATCAACTAGAGATTTAATTCAACCAAAGTCAGAATAATTAAAATTAAAATTAAGCCCATGACAGCCGATCTGGTTCTGAAGACCATCTGTCTAGCACAAAGCTTAGATTACTTACGATTTGATTTAACAAAACTTGAGTGAGTAAACGATTCGTGCATTAAATTTGGGTTGTTAAATGTCGGACATATTCAAGAAAGGTCTAACTGGGTCATAAATGGGCCCCATAAATTGACTCATCAACCAGATAGGAATAAGATAATATTATAATAGGTGAATTGAACAGGTAAATGGGTTGGCTTTGCTGATGAGGCAACGACCTTCGTCTCATCAAACTGGACAAAACGTATAATACACAGGGTGGGATGGGATCAAGTTAAAACCCATCCATAACCAATCCGACTTGTTAACATCGCTAGAACTAAGTCTAGGTGGGTATATGATGCATTTGATCCATATAGAAGCTGCTGAGGTGACACAAAGCCAAATCAAACTGCATCACCCTATTGTCTTCACAATAAATATGATTGTGTTTGGCACCACTGATGTTTCTATCTAAAATGTTTTGGGTTGATTAATATAAATTTGAGAGAAATATTTTCTTCTTAAAACTTTTTGGATTGATCAATACAAATTGCTGTTTCTACATTAGACATTTCAACATTTACAATGATTAGTCATCCTAATACATACATTTTTCTATTTGCTCCATGGGGCTATACACCCGGAGGAGGGAGTCCATCCTCCAAACCCATAATCTGCAGGCGGACCTTTTTGTAGTTGAAACGATTCTTATATGTGATGTGAATATCTTTTTCACCAATTTGTATTGATCAACTTAAAACGTTTCAGGTAGAAATAACAATGTTATCAAATACAACCTATTTAAGTCTTAGGCCAAAGTTTGAGAGATGCGTACAATTTGCATCTTAACCCTATGACCGGGCCTAAACATATTTCAGGCCCAGGGTGTGTGCCAAGCTAGGCCCAGGCGTCACCTATGTTCTTTAAAATAGATGCTAAGCCTGGTGTGGGTAGTCTGGCCCATGATCACATCATGGATCAATCTACTTGGACTGGATAATTGAACTGATGCCCCAGAAACCGGTGGCCAAACCGGATCGGTTTTTAAAACATGGGTAAATTTCTTAAACTACCCTTATGGTTTAGCTAATTGACTAAATGTACCCTTACTGTTTGAAAATTGACTGACGCTACTCCTATTATTTCTGACAATTGATTAACTTTACCTTTACCGTTAGCATCTGTTATTATTTTGTCAAAATCTGTATACACGTGAGACCACGTGGTGTTTAAAATTCTTTTAAAACCCAATATTACCCCCTCCCTCATCCCAAATTCATTTTTGGGAGAACCAAAAAACACTATTCATCATCTCTTCCAACTCTTGGCACAATGACAATGAACCAACATTGACCCCCTCCACCTCTGGCCATGTCCCTTCCCCAATCTCTCTCTCTCTCTCTCTTTCCCCTTCTTCTTCTTCTTCTTCTTCTTCTCTATTCATCGTCTTCTTGACGGTGAACAAAGAACTACAACTAGCGAAGGGCTCACTCATCCGAACTGAATGCCTGGAGATTGAGCACTATCGTCAGTGCAGACGACAGCGGCCACTACAACTTTCGAACAGCAAAAGTTTGGTGAGAAGGAGGTGAAGAAGGTTGAAGGAGCTAGTTCCCTCGAATCTAACGAGAAATCGAAAAAATCCCCTACTGTTGCTACAAAGACGTAGAAGAAGAGATCAACTGACAAATCCAGTGACTTCTCCAACGGAAAGGATCTCTCCAAAAATTCTAGTTGTTGCAATCGTCGAAGCCAGACGAAGCCCTGTTTTGCTCGAGGGGGAGAGAGGTTGGATGTGAAGGGGTCCGCTACTATTGCAAATTGCAGTAGCGACGATGATGAAACAGGGGCGAGAGGGAGAAAGAACAAAGGGAATGGGGAGAGAGAATGAAGGGGACAAGGAGAGAAAGAGAGGGAGGGAGAGAGGTCAAATGTGGAGAGGTCCGTCGTTGTTGCAAGTTGCAACAGTGGCGGTGATGAGATAGGGGCGAGAGGGGGAGAGAGAGAGAGAGAGTTGCAGAGAAGTTCAGACTCATGGCTTAATCTCTGACTCCTTCAGTGTTTACAACGGTGAAATCACCATTACTATTATCGCCACCGTTGCAACTTCTAATAGTGGCAGTGGTCTCTTCCTCCGCCCCCTTCTCCTCTTTGTTCTCCCTCTCCACCTCCCCTCTTCGCATATAAGGAATTTATCGGAAAACCAACCCAACTAAGATAACCCTCGGATTACAAAAAATAGAAGAATAAAATAGTCTTTTTATCTTATTGTTAACAGAATATTAAAAGGTACTAACGGTAATTTAAATATTAATCAATTATAATAAAACAATAGAAGTGACGTTAGTCAATTAGCTAAACCATAACGATAACGGTAGTTTAAGAAATTTACCCTTAAAACATTTATGCTAATAGATCTTAAAACAGTAGGATAACGTTAGTCAATTAACACAACAGATTGTACGGCTGAGATCTTCTATTTGATTTTTTTTTGGTAATAGAACTTCTATTTGATTGATGTGCGGATGAAATCAGAGAGACTAGTAGTGGGGGGAGTGGGAGAGTATTGGAAAAGCATAGATGGTATTATTATCAGAGCAAATCAGTGCGCATTGCGCACCTAGTTCACCCGAGACCGAGAGGCTAGCCCGTGACGCCGAGTAGAGTAGTAGGACTCGCGCTTCAACTTGGAATTCCGGTTCTTCTTCCTCCTCTTCTCTCGCTCGTTCTTTATTTTTTTCCGGAGGGAAAAGAAAGGAAAAGGTTTTTAGGGGTTTCATCAAGGTTTCTGCCGATAAGTGGTGGATGGAGATTTCAGAGAAGAAGGAAGACACCAAGGGTTCCAACGCTCAGCCACCCCTTGATGCATCAGCGCCTGCTGATAAAGAAGCAGAGGAGCGAGAAAGGCAAGAGCGCGAGCTCAAAGCCGGTTTGCATCCTTTAAAGGTCTCTCTCTCTCTCTCTCTCTCATATTGCTATTGTTGTAATTTATGCAATTCCTATTTTCCATTCGAATCAGGGGCTCTATAAGATGTTTGTCTTCTTGATATTTTGTTTTTCCTTCTATTTACTTATTTTTAGTTTGAAATGGATTTTAAGTTTGTGGGGAGTTTTCGAATTCTGAAATTTTTATAACCTTTGCATCAGTACCATGCTATGAATGATGTATAGGCGTTGGCATTTGTCTTATTTTTACGTTTTATTTGTAGTTGAATGATGTCAAAAAAAATGTAAATTGGTTTTCGGTTACTTGGCCTTGCATTTATCAAGGCATTCGTGGGCAGTATCTCTTTAAGGCCATTAGATTGGTTCTCCTACGTGGATTAGTTCGAGGAAAAATTCTGCTACAGTGCTACTAGGTGAAGCGGAGGAACTTTAAGAAAATTGTAATTTATTTCAGTCAGTTTCAACGAGAATTAGCATCAAATTTGATAGTACTTTATGAGAAGAAGGGCGAGATTCAGCTAGGACAATTATCACAAAAATTCATATTGATGTTTTGGAAAGACAAATTTCATCTGGACATTGAGAGTTCTTCCCAAATTTATAGTTTATTCGTGGGCAGGATCTTTTCATGCATTATGCTATTGACTTGATTTGGGTTCTGATTATTTTAAAGCAGCTTCCGTTAATTGTTGGAAAATAGGTAATTAAGGTGTAACTATTAACTAACAAGGGCATGGCACTAGGACAGTTCCAAACCTTGCTCTTTCAGCTTTCTAGTATGGAGTTCTGCTACCAATCTTCTCTGATGTGGTTTGGAACACAAGTATCGGTCGTACAAACTATAAAGTAGTGTCACAGATCTCAATATATGAGAGAGACTTGGAAGAAGGATAGAGGTTAATTTGGGAAGAAGGTCAGCTACCCAGTCAGTACATTGCCTTCATATCTATTCACTCCTCTATTCTACCGTATCCTCTTTTCTTTAATAAATTTTACATGTGTGTATTTTTGTACTGGTAATAGCTTTCATTGGGAAATTGTGATTAAGTTGTATAGTGCATTTTATCATTTCTATTTTTGCATAATAATTTGTTCCATACCTTTCTTTGTTGTGTATGATTTTTTGGTAAATTATCTCACTACCTTTTCTCCTCCATGTTTTGAAATTTCAGTACAAATTTGTATTTTGGTACACACGCCGAACACCTGGAGTTCGGTCACAAACGTCATATGAAGACAATATAAAGAAAATCGTGGAATTCAGTACGGTAAGTTCCTTGTTGAAGCACAATAGAAGTATGATGTGATTACTGTAGTTAAATGTTTTTAAACATTTGAAAAGGTTTTAAAATGTGGAGGTATGAAGTGTCTCTAGGATCTTCTGAGTTAAGAAGTAACACCTCATCATCTCAAAAAAAAGGGCTTAAAATGAGAAAAACTGTAAACTATGCAAAAGAGGACTATATCTTTATACAGGAATGTATAGATAAATTACTTGTCATATGAACAAAGAATACAAAATAACAAGAACTCTTTTTTTTTGATAAAATAGCAAGGGCATTCTTAAAATCCTTGTAGACTATTAGAAATCGCTTAATGTATACTATTAAAAAAAAATAACAATGAAAGAGACCTCAATTTTGGAATTTGACCTTGACCTGTTCTTGTCAAATGAAAATCCTATTTTACACAAGGCACCTCAAGGTGTGATCCATGTGTATTATCTTTTTAGGTATGAACCTCACAGTTGAGCTTAGGGCAAAAGTTCGAGGTTAACTCCAGGGTGTTTTCCTTAAGCCTCATATTGAGCCAAACCCCAAGGTGGGTTTGACATGTCCTTTAAAATGTTGCTGTCAACCCTTAGTTTAAAAGTCGTTCTTTCTCTTGGATCACCATGTGACTAATTTATCACAAATTCAAATTGTATGCTTTTAAAAACTTCTTTTGCTGATAGTAAAAGTATCATGTTTAGGTTGAAGGTTTTTGGGTTTGTTACTGCCATCTGGCCCGTCCTTCTTCTTTGCCAAGTCCAACTGACTTGCATCTATTCAAGGAAGGTATTCGTCCTTTGTGGGAGGTAAGAATTTGAGACCCAACAATACCATTTTATTGTTCTTTTCAATGAGAACTTTTCTTTATTCATCAATTCTTCAACTCAAAGATATCAAAACAATTCTTAATCAACACCTCTACATGTGTTGATTGAACTCTATGCTTTGATATTGCACTACTTTCTACCAAAAAGAAATATCGCACTACTTGAACATCTCTTTATGCTCAGGATACTGCCAACTGCAATGGTGGAAAATGGATAATACGATTCAAGAAGGCTGTGTCAGGTCGCTTCTGGGAGGATCTGGTAAGATGGTATTTCCTATTTTTTTAAAGCATTTAAGCTTTTAAGATGCAATTGAAACTCTGTATCATATTAGTTTATTGAAGATGGTATTTCCTATTTTTGTATGTTAAAATTGCAGTTCAAGCACAATAGTAGTTTAACAGATTCCAATTCCTGGAAATAGTGATTCAACCTGGGTTGGGCTGGGCTATGAATTTGTTAAATTTTCAATGGGTCCGAGCCCAAACTTGAGATTATAACCATGTTGTTCTCTTTTTTTCCCAATATCCACTTTTCTTTCCGTAAGGTTATCAAATTGATGGTAACCAGTCTCTTGGGATGCTTGATGAAGGTTCTAGCCTTGGTTGGTGATCAACTTGATTATGGGGACAACATATGCGGTGCAGTATTAAGCGTTCGTTTCAATGAGGACATATTGAGTGTCTGGAATCGCAATGCATCTGATCATCAGGTCAGTGGTGCTGATTATAATGACTATCGTTATAGCTTGTGAAAATTGCTTTCGCTGTACTGTAATCCAACAAGCAGTGGAGTTTGATTCTAAAATCATGTGTCTATTCATCAGGCTGTGATGGCTTTAAGGGATGCAATCAAAAGACAGTTGAAGCTTCCCCATAGCTATGTAATGGAATATAAGGCCCATGATGCATCTTTGCGTGATAACTCGTCATACAGAAACACATGGTTGAGAGGATAGGGGTAAATCCAGTTCTTGTAATTACAAGATGGAGAGTTTCTTCAGAGGTCTTAAAAGCTTAAATGCCTTGTTAATGGGTTCCTTGGTACCATCTACACTTTGTATTGAGTTCATCAAGTGATACAGTTTTTCTTCTTCAAACACAGTTGCTTGATTCAGTTCTGAGACTTTACAGGTACAAGGTGGTAAATTGTAGTCCTTAATCTACTAAGATCTTTTTAAGAGCAATTACAGTCTTGTATGAATGTGATCAAGGCAAAATTAGGTGACATGTTAAAGCGTTTTTGGCCTGTCAAGGCGAATCGTGCAAGGAATGTCTCACCCATTTTATTACAAGTGTTACCTTACTAAATTTCAGAGATACGAAAGATAATCGGTTACTGGCTTACTGCCATGTTGCATGTATGAGTGGCAGCAGGTCTCGAATCTTGACCTACTTGATTCCCCCCGGGGTTCCCCAAGGTCTAGTTTTGAACTTTTGAACACTCTTCTTTGTTGGATGATTGGGTGGTGATAAAGCATAGACTACTTCTGAAAAACAAAAACTTGTTTTACAAGGTTCAAAATATCATACGTCTAATTCGCCGGTAGCTTTTTTTCTTTTCTTTTAATTTTTTTCAAATCTGGTTCTGAGGGATCGGTTTACACTCCCTGAATCGGTTGAAACCCCAATCCACCCTTAGGGGCATATTGATAGTTGGGTAAATTACAAAGACCCCCCTATAGTCTGTGACAAAGACCCCCATAACTTTGTTTTGCCATAAAGACTCTTTTGTACTATGACCATGAAACGAAGACCCCCTTCCGTTGGTCTTTCGTCCAAAAAATGAAAATTCTGCCGTTCCAATAATTTTTAATTCCCATACTACCCTTATAATAATTATTCGGGAATACCCCTCCTCGGCTTCTTCTCTCCCTCAGGAACCACAAGTTGATTTCCATCGACCCTTTTGGCTTTGCCCAAGAGGCTAACCATTGGGAGTATTGAAGTTTTTGAAGTATTAATCTTCAGGGTTTGAATAAACGCAGACTTACCGAATTTCTTCAACTTGTCTGAGCCAATCATTCCGGTGAAGTTGTTTACGGAGATGTTCGAGAACTTAAGTGCAGGAAAATCAGATGGGAAGCTTCCGTTGATGACGTTGTTGGAAATGTCAAGGTACCTGCAGCGAGCGAAGATTGGCATGGGTTCCACGCTCCCTGAAATGTTGCAACTTGAGGTCGAGATATTTGAGCTTCGCAAGGTCCTCCATCCCAGAAGGCAAAACTCTCGGATCGTTGTGCGAGAGGTCGAGTACTTGGAGGTTCGAGAATCCTGACAGATGGACCAAGTTGGTGAACCTGTTGTGCGAGAGATTGAGCTTTTGAACTGATGACAACGACGAAACCGAACTGGTTTTTGATGTGGGGGCGAAGACCAACATTTCCTCCAAGACAATTCATGGCGAGATTGACTTCGACGAGGCTCGACATCGACCAGAACCAACCTAGAACAAACCCTTGTAGTTTATTGTAGGAAGATCCATATACTGTAACTTGGATAGATTTCAAAGATAATTCCATGAAACGATTCCGCTCAGATTTCTTTCTGGAAGCTTTACTTCCCTAATTGGAGGATTCGAGCAGTTCCCATCTCCAGATTCGAAAAGCGACAAGTCAAATCCAGCGACGGAGTGAAAGGCTCGGGAGATTAACTCCCGGTCTATAGTATTACAACTAGTACTAGGTGCTCTGCCCACCTCTAACACATCAACTATCTAAACACGATCAGCAAGATCTTGTGCATGCCAACTGTTCGATCGAGTTCGGTCTAGATTCAGATTAACAATCGAAGATCAGTTAGCGCATGTGTGGCTTTTGATTGTACAAACAAAAACAAACAGAATAATTCTCATCTTCTTCACTAAAATACGTACGTCGCACGTATTAGGTCAGGAATAAGAATGTTGACCATCCATTTTCATACTTTACACAATCAAGTTTGCGTTTTGAACTGGTACTATATATCTACTACTCCTCGTCCAAGCAACTCAATATATATGTTCAGGAATAAATCAGATCTGTTGCTATGACGAAGAACAATCTATAAGAATAAGCAACCGTCGTAGCTACCATCACTAGTGGCCAATTCCCGGACTTGGGCGGGATTTCTTTATCCCTTCCATCAAGTAGTTAACGTACTCTGCAAATCGGTTCCCCTTATCTCCAGAATTCTTGATTGCCTCGAGAAATAGATTGCTAATAAGCTGAAATGTATCTCCTTCTTCTTCCATGCATTCGTGCTGTTTTGGATCGCTTAATGGTCGGGCTTGTGTGGTGGAAAAGAGCACGGCGATCGAGCCCAACAAGAGAATAATTAAGAGAAGGAAGCAGCCAAGGTGGGATGATCTTGATTTTCTAGCCATGAATATATCTTGTATGTGTGGTATCATAATTAACCAGCTTCAATTACCCTCTTCTTGCTAATGCTAGCTAGGACGAGGCTATATATGCTACAAAACTGAGCAGTTTGGTACTAGTATTAATAGCTAGCAGTAATTTATAGCTAGGGAGGAGGCTATATATGCTACAAAACCGAGCAGTTCCCATCTCCAGATTCGAAAAGTGACGAGTCAAATCCGGCGACGGAGTTAAAGAATCGGGAGATTAACCGGTCTATAGTATTACAACTAGATTCCAGAAAGCAATAAGAGACGGAACGAGCACAACCTTGCAGAAAAACTCCATTACAGAACCCAACCTTATGTTTCCCGGAATCTTTTCAGGTTTCAACCTCCATGTACTTGCAGCGAAAGAGAACGAGTTTCGATGATCTGAGCTTGTGACCAAGGATTCGGTGAGAAGAAACAATCCTCTTGGGTGCACCATTTGGCAGAATTGAGTAGGGAAACACCCCGAATTAGCCACAGCAACAAGTTATGGCGGCTATGGCCGAGAGGAACGGAAAACAGGGGAAAGCGGGAAGAAAAAAGAGAGGAGAGAAAGGGGAAGGGGAAGAAGAGAGATCGGGGGGAAAGAGAGAAATATGAAGGAATCTGAGGTAGAGGGGGTATTTGTCTAAAGTCATAGTACAAGGAGGTCTTTGTCGCAAAACAAAGTACAAGGGGGTCTTTGTCACAGACCCCATAGTACAAAGGGGATCTTTGTAATTTACCCTTGATAGTTTTTTTTTTTTTTTTTTTTTAGTTTTTTTTTTTAAATCTGGTTTAGAGGGGTCGGTATGGACCGATTGAAACCCCGATACACTCTGCAGGGGCATATTGATAGTTTTTTTTTTTTTAAATCTGATTCAGAGGGATCAGTTTAAGGTCCATCCACCCCCTGAACTGGTTGAAACCCCAATACACCTTCTGTAGAGATGTATCGGAAATTCCTGATACGTATCAGCTGACATATGTATTGATACTTTGAACCTTGGTTTTACCCCTAATTATGGTACACTTCTTACCATGCTAACGAGGGAGGGTATCTCTTTTCTTTTCAATTATGTCAATTATACTAGATACAATATCTTGATATATATTATAGGATGTCAGTATTACAAATTTACAATATTTTCCTTTTTCCCTTCCTATTTTTGGGAAAGAAGAGTTGAGTTGTGCAAATAAACAGGAAGAAAAGGCTATATTTGAAACTGGCATCCTTCACATTCACATTGGCCAACTATTACATTCTGATGTAATTGGAAAGAGCTCCTCTCAAGAAGAATCAAGGATAAATGTATATATATTTTTTATTTTTAATCAGTTGAAAGTGAAATGGTTTCAATTGCGTCTTGGTGTTGGTATAAGATGCTATCTCTTATTTGCTGGTGGATTATTTTTCCCCTACGCTTGTAACTGTGTTTGGATTTTGGATCTCCTAAAATGGAGATACGCAGAGAGTGAAATTCTTGATGACAAGCAATCTGATGCCTATGCAAATTAGCTATTGCAAATATACTGCCGCTAACAAACGACCACTAACAAGTTTGATTGCAACCTTTTCCAACTCCAGAGAGTAAAGCATGCAAAACCGCAAACATCCAATAAATGAAAAGTACAAATCTGAGACGTGTTAAAGCTCATGCATTATTTAAAATCAACCAAGAATTATCAGAACCCCATTTGGTCAACATGTTTTTTCATGAGGAAGATAATGCTGTTTAATCAATATATGATACATATACCCGTATCCCATGCATGAAACTAGCCTTGATGCTCAGTCTCGATCTGCGCTAATTGCGGCTATACAGCTGATTGAAGCCCAATGATACCTGCCACATGACATGTGTTACTCTGGTTTCTATTATTATGTGCAAGAAGGAAATAAGAAAATAGAGCCAAAAACCAGATCATAAATGTAGGCAGGCAAGAGCCCAGTTGCACATATTGCAGGCATTCAGCAACTCACCATTTGATGCCCACTTATAAGCTTTCCTTCAACATCTGACTGCATTTTCTGATTTTTCGCATCATACATTTTCACTCTTTTGTTTGACAATTAGACAAAAAACTATCTAACATGCACCTGATTATCCAGATGCCTGGCCCCCAGTCTGGGTCCATTAGCTTTGGACCAGATTATAGTCAGGTCCTGTTTACTTGTTTGGAACCACCAGTGTCATACATGGGCTTGGACCTCACAAGACCCAAAAATGGCACACGTGATAAGGTCCATGCTTGGATATAGGCCCTGTCCTGGACCCAACAAGTTGACACTTCAGATGAGTTCAGTGACCAGGAGGCGTTTAGGTGGGCGCCATAAGATGGTGGGTCCCCTCACTATTATATACATGCATGGTGTTCAACTTTTTGTTGGTGTCACCATGTTCAAGGACCTATATTCTCCAAAGCGAGAGAGCAACCAAAGAGCCAATGAACCAAGAAACCAATCATGATTCTATAACAATCCTAGGGTAGAGACAAAATTACCACATCCAATTCTTCCACCTGCATTCCCGGTTGTCTTGCTAAGTTCATGTCCACCTGTAACATTGACAAAACTCAATAAGTGCCACAATAAAAAGAAACTGTAAGTTTTAAACGTGGGGCTGAGACCAATGAGCATTTTCTACACCTAAAGAATTCTACTTAGTCCAGAATATGGTTGGAGCAAAATGAGATAGCAGAGTAGATGACCCCATATAGTTGGGTAAGGCATGGGAGATGATGATGATGATGATGAAAATGAGATAGCAGAGTAACAGGGCAATCAATCCTCGACCAAAATGATTTGTATGCAGATGAACCAAGTATTTCATCAAAGTCTTGGCTCAGTTTGCTACCAAACACCATTCTTTCTTCTTCTTTTTTTTAATTTTTATTTTATTTTTGGAGGGAGGATATGGACTCGTGAACCCCACGATGCCAGGGGATCCAAGCAACCCAATAGGTGATCCAGATGCTAGCATGATATAGGATCCTTGGCATGGAAAAGACCGATAGCCCCTGGTGCCCATGCAACATAACAGGCTAATTGAAGGCGAGCCAGATTTAGAACTACCAATAGCTGCTTGACTACTATCACTGATCATCATTGAAAGAACAGGAGGTTGACAGATTGATGACAAAGAGGTAAAGTATTGCTGAATGAATCAACATGCCCACAAAAGGATGCTAACCTGTAAAGTTTTGACAACACCACCATCTTCTGATTGTTATTCTGGTTACATTCCGTTCTCAAGGATGAAAATTCACAGAACCTTTTTCCTATAGTCAGAAATGGGAATGCCACTAATAACAGACATATTGATGGAAACCACTGCCACCTTACATATCAGATGACAGAATTTCATTTTGAGTACCATCAGTGTCATCTTCTTTTGAGGTCCTTTCACATTTTCCAGAGCTGACCAAGATCCTGCTTTTTTCCAGGTTGAGCAAACATCTTATGACTAACTTGTACGAGGGTGCATGGAATCTCTATGTCTACTACAAGGTTGTGTTCATTGTACAAGCAATCTTAGGTTCATATTCATCCTACCTACAGCAGAAATGTGGAATACAAGCCTCCTCTTCCCTGTTAAGATGGTTGGTTCTTCTGCATTTTAAATCTCCAGATTGGGATGAAATCTTTTGTACTAGATATTAAACCAGCCACTAAAAACTCCAATACAAGCCCTTCCATATTACTAATGGGAGACCCTCAAGGAACTGATGCTGAGTAGCCTTGAAGACAGCTTTCCAGCAAGACAAAATCCAATTCATGGAAACTCTACTGCTAACATTCCAACTTTTCCAAAGGTTATCATCTTTTCTTTGTTCAAAATCTTTGGAGTCAGGCCATGGGATAAATAGAATATATAAAGAAAGATGTCCAGGGTAATGCTCTTATCCATTAGGTACTGTTTTTCTTTCTCTTTAGACAATCAAGAATGTAAAAGCAAGAATCTCCTAGAGTGGGTATCAGCTAGTATCTTCAAAAGTGGTCTATCTCTTCTAAAATGCTTTTCTACTCAAGTCAACAGGCTAGGCATGACTATTTAGTAAAGCCTATAGTATATGTCAAATGGTCTCAAAAGAAGACTCGGTGGTCCTATACAAACAATATGCATAGTAGACCCCCTCCCTCACAAGTGAGACATAAGATAAGATGCTATGAAAGTCCTGAAAAAGTGCAAATGAAGTGTTCTTACAGCCCATAGCATCAAAAATCAAAGCTATTTAAGGAGTCTCTTTTCCTCTGGCTTAACAATTCCCTACAAGCATCAAAGTATAGGCCTATTCCTTGTATGCAAACATTCATCTCATCTTAGTTATCATGGGAACGTTTTTATTTTCCAGTACTATAGAATTTAAATGCGTTGAAGACCCTTAACATAATGGTGGCTCCATGTTACTCAGAAAGCAACCTGGAATCTCATCTGTCCCCATTAAAAAAAAAAAAAGAAAAAAAGAAAAAACAAAACTTCTACTGGAAAATGATGAATCTTACATGGCACATGGGCTAACTCATAAACTTTGCCAAGGAATTCATTTTGGGAAGGAAAAAATTACTCTTAAGAATTTATAATACTTGAATACAATAGTTGCCAAGAAGATAATGTAGGAAACTATGAACAAAGTAGAAGAGAGACACATAAAAAGTTCACAGACCCTGCTTTTCTTGATATAGGATTACACTCCATATATAGGTATCTCTGATGGAAAATGAGGTTGCTAGCATTTGAGAATAAAATACTGCCTTCTCCAATATATTCAGTTTTAGAAATAATCACCAAAGTTTAGTGAAATGAGACAGGAAACCTTATGAAGAACTCTGCACCCAAAAGCTACTCATCAACCATCATGTTATTACTCCAATGAATGCATGTGCATTGTCACTATGCATCATGATTAGTAACAAACTGATCATTAAGTTTTTACCTTCTCAGTTTGTAAATCTGCCTAGAGGAAGAGATTCAAGTCTTTCCAGCATCTAGCTCCATGTTTTAAAACCTAGTAATAACTTCTCTAATTAAGAAGAAAATGAAAAAAAAAAATCCGTTATAGTGCCTTGTGGTACTACCTTTATACTTAAATTTCATGACCTACAAGCAAATGGCAACCAAGGTTTGAAGCCACTACTGACTTGGAAAAGAAAAACACCTTATTCAGATACTTAACCTCTCCAACTTCAAATACTCTTTGCCAGAAGTTCTGGGAAACAAACTGAGCTATTTGTACCAGAACCTTTCAAAGAAATAGTAGTTTCCAATGCCATACCTCTGCCAAGATCATCAGGATCAGCATGTACAACAACTGCCCTTCCGAGTATTGAGTGCTGCCCAGTTAAGGGAATCTACATTTCAGAGAGAAAGTGAAATGAACTCTCCAAACCTCAAATGAAATTGCTAAGACACTCCATAATGCAAGAATTTGAAATAGCAATATAGGGTAGGTAAAGGGTAGAATATAAAACCTGCATATCCTTAATGGAAATTTCAGCAACTCCTAGAAGCAAAGTAAGCTACAGTTAGATGAACAAACAACTCAGACCAACATCTTTAATAAGAAATAAGAAGAAGAAAACAAAATAGACAACACAAACCATCTGGGCCTGCCACTATGTTTCCCAGGTCACCCGCATGCCTCTCTTCATCAGAAGGAGCTCCATGATCCTTCTTTAGTGGATTGAAGTGAGGTCCTGCAATAAGGGGATAAAAGGGAAAACACCAAAACCTATATTTTACTAACCAAACCACAAGAACAGAACTGGCAAAGAAATGGGTGAAAATCAACATTCTAGCTTGATTAAATACAGTGACTACCACAAAAAAAAAAATGACCATTTTAGGGGGTGATCACCACTATGTTTGATTTTGTTTTGCCAAAGAAAAAAAATCAGACTGAAAACATAAAACCAAAATTGAAGCTAAATAAACAGAGAAGGAGATCAACAATCCTTCTTTACCGGGTTCAAATGAGGCCCTGCAATATAAAATCCGAGCTTAATTAACAGACAAACTTCATCATCCTTGTTTATTGGATTAAAAAATGAGGGCCTTGAATATGGGAAGAAGACGAAAAAAAACAAGAAACCAAGTTTACTAATCAAACCACAAGAATAGAACCAGCAAAGAAATTGGTAAGCATCAACGATTTAATGTTGATGAAAAAAACTTTAATCAATTAAACCAAAAGCATAAGATCAAGTAAAGAAATGGGTATCCATCAAAAATTCAAAATTCGAGCTTAATCAGCATACAAACACATAGAAGGACCCACCAGTAGAATTGCAGCCATTGGTGGTATCGCCGAGAGAATGAATATGGAATCCATGGAAACCGGGTGAGAGGCCTGTGATCTTTCCTTTGACATGGGTAACCCCTATAAATTAAAAGCCACTACAAGCTCAGGAAAAAAAAAAAATAACAGAGACAGAGAGGTGGGTGGGGGAAGGGATGGAGGGAAGTAGAGACCGTTGGGTTCTTGGACAAACTGAATAGAGCCTCTGACGTTGTTGGTGCCGGTGACGATAGCAATCGCTTTAACAGCGCCTTTTGCAGCCATTTTCTCAGTCAATTGAGAGTTGAAACGTAGTCTCCGGCTCTTGCTTGTTCTTCAGTTCTATAATCGTATAAAATGGATTCGACAAGAAAAGGGGTGTGTCGTTGGCTTATTATAAGTTAGCTGCAGCTCGTGAGGATCACTCAGTCAGTCGGCACTCAGCACCACTGGTTCTGCGTCCTACCTGGCGCATTCTAGTGAGACCTTGCAGCCAACATAAATAAATAAATAGCCTATCAAGTTGATGCTTCAGTTCCAGTGTCCGAAGTCCAATCTCAGCTAAGACATTGGCGCCAAAAAGAATCAACATCATTACTCGTCAGATGATCAAGGCAACTAACTATTGGACGATCAAAAAGATTCCTTTTAAGGAACTTAGGACCCACCAAAATGGTGGACCCTGATACTCTGAGAGAAGACCGTGGCTCTTATACTGAGAAAAGCCAGCCAGTGCAACATTTCTTGTTATTTAGGCTCCGTTCGTTTTTCGGTTATACAACGTTGGGTCCTAAATTGGGAATGCCTGTCTGCCTGAGACAGAGAATATCAATTATTTGGGTTCGGGTAACGAACGCTTGTTGAAGCCGGATAAGCGCTATCTCCCCCACCTCTCTTTAGTCTATACCCGGGTAAAGAGTACACACTGGAAACTTGCTTATCCAGACAAATGGACAAATTTAAACTTGCTTAGACAAACCGTACTTACCCAAGAAAAAAAAAATGAACGCCGCCTTATTTGACTTCTTTTAGACAGATATAATCCAGTGGGCGGTCTCTGATAATAAATTGATTGGTCCTGTATTTGGTTTTGGTCCACATGGGAGAAATTAACAAAGATTTAATATTATTTTGTGCGATCAGAATTTAGGATGGTTTAACTTGTTCATACTTCAATTGGGCTATTGTTTGGCACCATTAACCTGAAGGATCCAAATGCAAAATATATATTTGATTGCCCAGTCCAGCAGCAGCAACAACTTAGAATCGAGATAGGACCACTATCACACTGACACCATCACAAATCATAGGCCTAACTTATTAGATCTAAGAGATCTATGAATTTTACTTGTCCAACTGACCGAATGAAGTCAGTCATCCATGAGATCCCAGACCTAATATTATAAACACCTTAAAATTGCTGCAGACATCACCCATGACTTCAGCACCAGTATGAAAATAACCACAGGCATGTGACGGCGAAGCATTTAGATTACCAACATGCAAATATGAAATCATTAACCACGACTAATCGATACTTCAAACTATCAGTATCCAGTCTTCAAAATAATATTCTGTAATCTGTCGTCTACAGTCCATACAAACACCCAAATAGTCGAAAACCCCAAAAAATAGAATCCAGTCCAGTTCACAAATTGAGTTTAGAACTACAAATATTGATTGATGGAATTAAACTGTTTTAAATCTATGAAATCACTTTAATCCACGTCAATTGCCAACAAATCATGGCTAAGAAATTGCTTATCCCTCCAAAAAAATCACCAAAAATAGTTTTTGACAGCTCCGAAGAATTATTAAACCTACACTTGAATGGCACTAATAAAAACTACATTAAATCATTAATTGCCAAGGCTGCCAGGTTTCCAAAAACAGCCTCCACTAAAGTACATAGAGAAACTTATTATCATAGTTGAAGCTTCACTCCTATTAAGTATGAACTCCTAAGTTGAAACTCTACAATCCAATAGATTTCTCCAGTTTTTGGATTTGGTTCAGGAATATCCATGTCATCTGCAAAAGCATCCAATTAATAATCATAACAGAAATAGAAGTTGATATCCAAACAATATCGACTTGGAATTCTAAAGACAAAAAAAGGGGAAAGGAAAAAAAAACGTTAGATATATTACCATGACATGCGGAGCAATCCTAACACAATAGACAGGGAACCCTGTGTAGAATTTAAAAGGGCCTCCTGATTTCAGAGTTTTCATGGTACAGTCCAAAGAACCAGTGTATGGATATTTTCCGTTGGCATCAGGTTGCATTTTTTGTATTTGGGTTTTGACATAGTCAAATGGTAAACTGCAGGCTGAAGCAAAGAATCCAGAAACAGCACTTGCTCCTGCAAGATGTAAAAAATACGAGTACCACTAAACCAGAGCTTGAAGAAAAAGTAAAATTTGCCTGAGAAAATAAACAAGTTTACAATGTTTAATTAAGTTTACAACGAGGGCCAGTGTTTAATAAAGTCAGAGTTATGACTGTTACAAGGAAAATCAAATTACTTCAAATCATACAAGTATATAAAAGAAAAATGCATCAGTATGCCAGATCAGGTTGGCAAAAAATTCTTTTGCATGGGCAATGATTAGGTGTCACCTAACCGACAAAAATTAAGATACATCCATTAAATTTCTGACAGATATTGAGCTACAAAATTGTTGCATGTAAATGGTAAAAGGGAGGCTTTATATTTAGAAAAATAAAAATATCAATAACTTTTACACCTATCTAGCACTAGTGTGGTTGTACTTGTTATAGTGGTATATGTCATTACCAAGTGAGTCAATTGTCTAAAGTGCCTCTTCACAGATTCACTATAATTCTACGTATTAAAGATGCATGTAGGCATGAATTTAACATACAAATGTGAGCATACATTTAATCACTTTGTAAATACTTTGTATGGCAACTTGTGTGACACTTTGGACTTTTAATCACTTAGAAAAGACAGGACATTTGAAAACTAGGGGTTCTTGCCTAGGCAACTCGGCACTCCCCTGTCGCCTAGAATTGCCTAGAGATCTCAACAACTATGCTTCAAGCTTATATCGATCAGGTTGGCCTAAATTAGACTTGTGCCCACATGGGAGATGAAAGACAACAGAGGAAATTCATTCCATAATTATCATAGAATCTTGCTCGAAAAGTTGGAGCAGCATGTTATTTAGGCAGGTCTACTACGGCATCTACACCATCTGGTGGACCAGGTCTAGCAATGAAATTCAGTCACATTTGAGACTCAACCTGAAACCTTGTTTTCAGGAGGATCACTCAAATGAAAATTTCAAGAATGTTCTTTTTCCAAATACAGAACCAATGCCAGGACTAACATGTCTAAATCTGCATAAAATTCAAATGCATAGTTATCAAAGCAGCATGGAAATACCAAGCAACAAAGAACCACCTTGTTACCTAGGCACCATTAGGTGGTGGAATTTTGACAATTAAGACCTATAATTTATTGTGTAGATCCATGTTGATATGTTCCATATTGTCAATTTCTAATTACTTAAGTAAGAAATACCAAAAGAAAGCCAATAATAACAAGTTTTGCATACAGAAAGAACATGAAATCATCACTTTCATAAGGCAACATCTTAGGTGTATACAAGGTCCATAAATTAATTATAATTTTTACAGAAGTACAATACCTGAACTTTTCCCCAAAAAAAAAATCATATGACAACATCACTTTTAATCATAAATCTCTATTTTCCATTTAAAATCTAGTCAATTCCATAAATCAAAGTAGTAATGTTTATTAAAACATGAGTTCTCATATAACAAGAATCCAAATAATAAGAAGTAAAATCACATGAATCCACACAAGCATTGCAGGCCAACTTCCAGCGAGAATCCAAGCTATTAATTAAGGGAAAATTCCTGATTAGTACGCTCTACTTTGGGCCTAGTGCCACTTTGGTCCCCGAACTTTAAAATGCAACAACTCAGTACCTGAACTTTCAAAATGTGCCAATTTAGTACATACCATTAACCAATCGTTAAGTGGCATTTGAAAAGATACAAATGCCCTAATTTTCTTTATCAACCATCCAAACGTTGAAAAAAAATGAACAATCCAAAAGCCTTGCATCTTCTATTCAAGAAAGTTGGGGTCACCAGAATGCCCACAAAGACATGACCCCAACTTTCTTGAATAGAAGAGAAAAGCATTTGGGACTGTTCATTTTTTTGTCAATGTTTGGATGGTTAATAAAGAAAATTAGATGACACTCAAAGGGCATTTGTGTCTTTTCAAATGCCACTTAATGGATGGTTAATGGCAGGTATTGGAATGGTACATTTTGAGAGTTCAGGTACTGAATTGTCACATTTTAAAATTTGGGGACCAAAGTGGCACTAAGCCGAAAGTACAGGTTAGTAATTGGGAATTTCCCCATCAAGTAATGAACATGCTAATATATATAATGATGCCATGTATCAGAGAGCACAACAAAACAACACAAATTTGTATTCAAGGACAGCATGATCTAAAAGGCATCTATGAAAAAAATCTTGTAACTTGGGCAGGAAGCATCACCTTGGTAACTATCATTAGATGAATGACACCCAACATAGGGAATGCATTTTGTGTTTGGATCTACACCATACATTTCTTACAACAATACTTATTCCTTTTATTGGAGTCTTGGTGCAAAGATAGATGAGAGCATGGTGGGAAATTCCAGACTGGAAAGCTTGGGTGTTTGTCAAACCAAAAAGTTCATCAGTTGCCAATTCAACACAAATAATAATAATAATAATAATAACAACAACAACAACAACAATAACAATAAACAGAAAATAAAAAGAAAAATTTACCAAATTAAAAAAAAAAAGGTTTTAATTTACTATGCCAACTAATTATTGTGCAAAAAACTGCATTAGTTTTCCTCTTTAAGTTAAGGCCACTGAAACCTAAATCTAATACAAACAACTTTTTTGTGTTACACTTAAATATTTTATTGGCTTAGAACAAAAAAATGTTCATTTATAATTATAGTGCAAAAATCTCTTTGCATTAATTTTCCTTTCCTAAGCCCACTAAATCCTAAATCTAATACAAACAACTGTTTGCATTAAACTTCAATATTTTATTGTTTAGAACCAAAAATGTGTTCATTTATATTCTTTCTCCCTATTACAAGGCCTCAAACTTAGCTTCTAGAATCATGTTGTTGAAAATCCAAATAAATATAACCATAAAAACAAAGGGAATACAGAAATACAACCTCAAAAGGAATTAGCCAAGTCACAGATTAATTTTTCATTAGATATCAAAAGAAAAAATATTAATTTTCCATTTAGATCAAGGTTTAAGAATGTGAAATATCTTACCTACAACTGTAGCAGCTTCACCGAAACCAAGGGAATCCTTGAAAAACTCAACACTTTGATCATAAGAGGCAAGCATGCCCATATTCAGTGCCATTGCTCTAACTACAGTAGGACCTGCACCTTTCCAAAGTGCTAGAACCCCTTCATCAGAAACAATACGGTAAAGTGCATGAAATGCATTTGTATAATTCCGTCGTTGTGCAGCAGGTAAAGTGGCATCAGCCTGCATACGAATGAGTGCTAAATCTGCTGGACTTCCAACACAAGCTCCAATTGCTCCAGCTGTCAGACCACAGATTGCTTTCTGGTATAATGGCAACGGCTTGCCATCATTGGCAGCAACTGCTTTGTTTGTCAAGGCCCTGTTACATAAAGGATGACATTTCCAAAGAGGATGAGAAAAAGATGACTGTCATTTTCAGGATAGAATGCAATAATTCCATAGCCAAATAAATATATATCTCTTCTCATCATCTCATGAAGAGAATAAAAAAATAAATATTTCAACAAGTTTTATCAGCTCAAACCAGAACACATGAGCATAACATATAAAATAAATTCAAATTGAAAGTGAAAGCAAACAGATATGTGTCGTGCAAAAGTGTTTCAAGCACCCAGCAATTGAAGTGAAACTATCAATCTGTTTGTCCATCTCCTAGTTACATCATGTGGGACTTTGGGAGTTCAAAGGCAGCAACCTTGACTCAAATTTTTTGGGATGTACATATGAGGTGATTGGTTTATGATTTTGGTTGCAATTCATTCTATTTTGGGTTAGGTATTGATGTATGTTGTTGCTTCTTTAATGGAAATTCTGCAATCTCAGATCTTGTCTACAATAACTAGAGTTTCAGGTATTTAAAAGGTATTTATTATTGCTCTTTTAAAAGTTAATAGACCATTACAAGTGGATAAGCACACATAAAAGGTAATTTGGAAGTTCAAAAGAGTAAGACCATTACAAAAGAGTAAGTACATATTATTGTATAAAAAAAGATAACCAATAAGAACAAACTAATACAAGGCATGCACCTGGACCAAGGCACAAGGTGATCCAAGCCCATGCACACCAGGCAAACACATTTCAAAAGGGACATAACTTGGTTTCAACTTTCAAGTAAGGCAAATGCCTTAAAATATGCCTTCTCTGTCTGCCTAGGTAAACCATTTAAAACACTGTCCCCAACAGCTAATCTACAAAGGTAGAAAGCACCTGAGCCATCTCTAATAACTCCTACACCAGAAGGGCCAGATTATCCAAGCTGCAGCCATCAAAATTAAGTTTTAATGGTGGGAGGCCTCCACTCCCTTGCAGCTCTATGATCTCCTCCTTAGTTCTTCTAAGAAAATCCTGTTATTCTTTTTTCCCAAATGGAATGCACCACAATACAGCTGCCCTTGCACTCCCCCAGGCCAGAGAACTTACACTCTTCTTGGGTTGAAAAATGTTGTAGAGGATATAAATTTTAAATCAACAAGAAGTGACCATCCACAACCAAAAACAGAGAAGATATAATCCCAAACACTAGAAGTAAACATGCAGTATCTGCAACCATGGTTCAAAGTACCAATACATATTTTACAATACAAATCAGTTTTCAGGGTCACTAAAACATTAAATACTGAGAGTTAGGACCTTTTAATAGGTTTAAACATTAATATCCATCCTAATGTATCTATTTGTGAATTTATCAAAATGAAAAAAAAAAAACAAAAAACAAAAAAAAAGAGTATTGTATATTGAAAACTCTGGAGGATCAATACTTTGAACCATGGCTGCAACTTGGTCATGCTGAGGTTTGAGCGTTTGCCAAACCTCAAGTAACCAATTTGCACCCCTGGTAGGGGAAACTTAAAGGAATTCATTCTACTGACATATTCTGGGCCAACTGGTTCAGGAGACTCAGAACTAAGATAAAGTATCTTGCTTCAAGGCTTCAGATACCTATCCTAGTTTAAGCAAAATATGTAGCATTAGAAGAAGGTTAGCAGGTGATCATTGGCTAGTTCAAAGTTTCATCTAATAGCTTGGAAAGATCTTTGCGGACCAAAGGTATTAGGAGTAGATATCAGATCCTTTAAATAAATGAATGGGTATTTTTGGTTCATCTAATAGCTTGGAAAGAATGGGTATTTTTGGTTCTTGATCAGTTGCACATATGGCTTAGCAGGCCTTCGTTGGGAATCTAATCCAGTGAATCAGTCATACAGCACTGGACACTGGAGTAATGCAAATGCAAGAAGGTTGCTTTTTCAAGAATTTTCAAGTATATATGCCCTGGCAGAAAACATATAAGCAACAGTTAAGGAGTGTTAAGAGTAGATAACAAACCAACAACATATCTGGATACCGTGTCTAAGAGGGCCTATCAATGATTGGGACATGGAATCACAGGCAAGAATGTTTCAATTACTGGAGAAAATGAAACCCCAATTATTGGATGAGGATAGATTCTGCTGGAGTGAAGACAGGTCAGGTCAGTTTTCATTGAAGTCAATGTTCAGCAATCATAACAGGTCAGTTTTCATTGAAATCCCTTGAAGCTAGTTGTGGAGTTCTAAGATCCCCTCCAAGGTTTTGCTTTTCATGTTGACGCTCATCAAAGAAAGGATCCCAACCATTGATGTCTTGAGATCTAAAGGAATGGTGCTAGTCAATTTCTGCAACTTGTGCGGTTAGGGTGAGGAAAATACTTAGTATCTGCTCATTCATTGCAGCTTCTCTAGGCAAATCGGAAACTACATTCTTCAGTTGTTCAGATTGCAATGGCTGGTTCCTCCAAATGTTAGCACCTTGGTTTCAGCATGGAAAGCTGGTGCATTTGACAAGACAGGAAGTCTTCTACGGAAAGTGGTTCCCTCGGCTGTTGTGTTGGAGTGTGGAAAAAAAGGAATGACAGAATGTTGGAAAACAAGGCATCTTCTACAAGCAGCTTATGTGGGAAGGTTGAGAGGATGATAGCAAGATGGGCTCTAGTATGTAGTGATTTCCAGGGTTTTAAAGCAAAATCCTTTTAAATCATTAGAGGGGCATCCAGCATCATTTGGAATGACATTTTCACAATGTAAAAGCTTTTTTGTGGTAAGCTAGTTTACTCTGATGATGCAATTGTTATGGGGTGGAATCCATCCTCTCTTTCCTTATTTTAATGAGATCAATTTTATATTTCAAAAACAAATCATACAAGAGAAGACAGGGGTCTACCTTGAAGGCTTAACATCTCATTCAGATTGATACAAAGATGAGATAACATTCTGGCACTTTGTACCTTTGACCTATTGACTTCATTTCTACCTTCCTCTTGACATCATGAGTAGAAGGTTTTGTAATCTTACTTTATAAAGTACTCTGATAGCCATTACTGATCAAACAGGTGGCTGATATCTAGCTAAGGGAAGGGTCAACGGAAGAGAGTTGTAGCAGAGCAACTCTCTCAGTCTCTCCAGGATAGCTTCAGGTTCTACCTAGTATCTACTATTATAATACTTTTTTGTTGGGTTGACCTCAGCATAATGGAAGTTTGTATCTTACTTCCTAATTTATCAGGTGGATTGATGATTGTGCTTGCTGCATATTTAAAAAAAAAAATGCATTCATCCTTGATCTGGTTACTAGGCTGCTCATAAAAAACTGAAAAACTGGAAAACCAAATCGAACCAAAGAAACTGGACCAAAAAATCCAGTTAACCAATTGATTCAGTTTGGTTTTGGTAACCAAGATGAAAACCAGCGGTTAACCAAACCAACCAGTATATGCATATAATATTATATATTCATATATAATATCTCATATTGATAAAATTTAAGTTTCAAGAATTTGATATTCCCGCCCAAACGCCCCTAGCTCCAACTCTCAAGGTCCAACCTAACCCAATTAATTCAGTCATGCCACATTTCATTCCCATTATCTTCTATATGTTAATACGTAATTAATAAAATATAAGCCCAAACACCCCTAGCTCCAACTCCCAATGTCCCACCTAACCAAACTGTCAAATGTCATTTGGACATTTCTCCTTTCCCTCTTCCCCAACCAAAAGCACAGAGCGTCTTAACTCCTCACTCTCAAGTTTTAGAATGAAGTAGAAAATCTCACTTGGTTCCATCTTCCACCTCCATCTCCATTCCTCCCCTCTAATCCCATCTGACCTCTCATTCTTTGCCTCTCTATACTCAAGGATTCTACATCATTGTCTCACAACACGGCTGCACCAGCCATCACATTGCTGCCTCACTACCGCTGGATGATGGCGCTGATCTACCACAGCAGTTCAACACCACCAATGATCCAGCAGGACCAACATCACCTTTCACTTTTGTACTCTGCTTTGCCTTTTTTTTAATTCTTGGAAATCCATTTTTTACCGTATTGTCTATTATGTTGTTGTATATTCTTGGACGTTTACGGAGATGACAAACTGAAAAACCGAAATGTGGTTAACCGGTCGTCCAGTTAACTGGTTGCTTCAGTTCGATTTTGGTTTGGCTTTTCAAAAAACCAAATGGTTCAGTTTGGTTAACCTAACCGTGAGCACCCCCCTACTGGTTACCAATTGGAAAAAATAATTATGCAAGAAAAGTGTAGTTTTTCCCAGGAAAATGCACCATATCATGGCATCTGTGTGCATCTGTATTACGCAATTAATGTACACAACTAACCTGAATGATCCAAGTCGTGCTGTTGTGTACGTAGCTTGCCTTAGCAATCCAGCTGATAGACCCTGCTCAAAAAACGATGTAACTTAGGGAAAAAAAATAGGGGGCATAGAAGGAAAAATAGATAAATTATTTTCTTTTTAGAATCATGAAGAGATCATCTTATCCAAAAAATAGTTGTCAAAATCTTATGATTTACACCATTGTTTGCAATTCAAACTGCTAAATCCAAGGTTTCTCATTTAAAGATTACCATTTAATCTTATGATTTATGATTTTTATAATATTTGACGTTAATCTTGATATTATGATTTATCTGTTTATTATTCAAATATTATGATCTATCAGATTCATGTTTTTGAACCAAATTCCACAGAGAGAGGACTCACTTGTACCTTATTTCAAAGGGATGTTTATAAAATATTTAATACCTTAAAGACTTCTGTTGGTTATTTAAAACCTTTATTACTTCAATTTTCATCCATATGTGGGTTAATCAACAATTATGTATGGCATTACGGCAGTATGGGTTAACTCACATTGAAGGTGAACTTGATTCTTGATTATATCATCTACCATTTATAGCATTCAAGTGGTAAACTTGGAAGTAGCACTACTTACCATATTCCCTATATATATAGGCAAGTGATCATTTATATCAACAATTTGTTTGAGAATTGCATAAAAATTAAGAACATGAATCCACTTTCCAACAAAAAGGCAAGACCAAAGTAGAACTAATTCACTAACTTGGACTGAAACGTTCATTTTAAAAGATTCTGCATTTAACAAATTTGTTATTGTGGTTAAGGACTTGAAAAGTATCACTAATATGATTCCGAGAAGTTCTTGACTTCTATGTGATTGCTTTTATCAATTCAAATAAACAGAAAGTATCTAATACCCAATATGTACATCCTCTCCAATTCAAAATTCCGGCTATTACTTACCATATCTATCTACAACAGATGCAATATCCTCTATAGATGGTGAATGTGAATGCTAATATTACAACATAACCTCCGACACATTCTTTTTGAATTTTCTACATATTTTGTCCAAATTTCACTTTTGGAAGTTGGAATGAATAAAATCAAGTACAAAAAACAAAAAACAGTTCAGATAATCATATATTTCTATATGAGCTTGCACAAACTATAAAATAATTTTTTATCTACTTAGATCTACCAATTTTAACTTTATGGTTCTGAATCAGGTAGAAACATTGGTTTCGACTGAGATGTTATGAGATGCCGATGTTAGATCAGATACCCTCATTCCTTTAATAGCAATATTCCTTTTTTAACATGAAATCAATTAAGGAGATCAGAAACCAACTAAAATTTTTCATCAGTCCAAACAAGCAAACCTTGTAAAAGGCGCCAATACCCTCATTCTTGATCATGTTCCTGGTCACTTGGGCTGCTGATCCCTGACCCAGTTGAATCCTCACCTGAAAACCATGAAATATAAGCTAGGCATTCCATAAATGACCAAAAGCATAAATCATTTCATTTATTTGGGGTAATAACAAACTAAAAAACACCCATTTACTCAAAAAATTAGCATCCCCTCCCAAAAATACAGAGGAAAAAAACAACTTACAATCGAAAGGGTAAAACATGCAAGCATACATCACGAGAAAAGAACTCAATTAGTTCGAACTAATCAAATAAGAGAAAAACTCATCGAAACCCCTAGGTCCATCTAGAATAACCCCAGATCCTCTAATAAATCCGACTTTAAAAGCGAAATAACAAAAGAAAGGTAAGAAAACCCGCACACTAAAAAAGGCTCCATTAATTCGAAACCGATCAAATAAGAGTTAAACCCAGAAAACCCTCATTAGCTCATCTACTCAAACACCAGATCCCTCATTGAAAACAACTTCAATACCAAACGAATCAGATAAAAAAAACACACTGATCATGACTAGCAATAGCTATAACTGATACCTTTATCATGTCCACTGGTTGGATAACACAGGTTGCAAGCATTCCAGATGCTCCTCCATTAACAAATGGCTTGACGGTAGGCCAGACACCACCGGTCTTGGGCTTCTCTCCCATTCTTCGATCTAGGGCGTGAGAAGAACGAGGGAGAGAGAAAAGCTTCGGTGGAGATGAAGGGGATCAAATCTGAATCTCCTCCTCTCGAACATAAAAGAGTACTTCGGAGCTTAGTAGTTTGCCCTATGCCTATGAAATGACAAAAACACCCTTTAGTTTCCTTATTTTTACTATCCCTATTTCAAAGCCCAAATATGAAATATGTTTTACAACCATACACTATTTCAGTCCAACAACCTACCTAATGACCCCTCTCTATATTTCTTTGCTAAAAAGTCATCTAAACATTAGATTTTTGATGTCATTAGATAAATAAGGGGTGTCCACACCACATTTTGTGGGAGGGACAAATCTATATTACACCAATCTATAATTGTTTTGAACTATGCATAGATTGTGTGGGATGGACTATTTTATATCCACAATGGGCATTCTGTAGGTCTAGTTTTTTTTATTTCATGTATCTCATATACATTTTTTGGGAGATCTATATAGTCGATCATAAATATCTAATTTTTGCATTTTATATGATAAGTAAATTGAAAAAAAAATGCATCAATATGTAAGGCAACAATTGCATTTTTTTAAATAATTAAAAAAATATTATTTTTAAATATTTAAAAAATAAAATATTATTTTAAATATTGTTTTATTGATAAATATATTAAAAATTAATATTTAAATAATGAAAAAATAGTTGAGAAGAAGAACTGTCGAACTTATGCTAGAATTAATATTAAAATTTATTATTTTATTGATAAATATTAAAAATTAAAAATTATTAAGAGATTAAATAAAATGAGAGTAATTTGACCAATGTAATGTAGGTGCATTACACTGAAACCTTTCCACAAACTGTCTACACCATAATGTGGATCATACACGAGAAAATACTATGAACGATAAATTGGAGTGTGGTCTGTCCTTATCCACACTATTTTGTGGACGGGGACCATCCACACATAACAGAATACCATATCTTGCCATGGATAATGACCAAAATGGTCACGTCCACGATATTCACACACTACCCGAACGCACCTAAAACTAAATTATGCTCATCACTTTCCAAAATGTCTTTTATAACAAGTCCCTAAGTTGTATTGCAATGCAATTTTATTTCAAATACTACAAATATATGGGAGTGTAAATGAAAAAATACAAATTCTGGTTTAATTTTGTTTTGGATTTTACTTTAGGTAAAATACAAAAACCTCCCTTGAATCTTGAAGTTTTTGACAATCATAATAATCTCCCCTGAAGTTTCACTTTAGCAAAAAACTCCCCTAAATTTTTAAGGAATTCATCAAAAACCTATCGTCATTGATAAAGACAAAAAAATGTTAAACTGGTGAATCAAATTTCCAAAATATCTATTTTACCCTTTTTATAAATTAATTTGCATCTATTTTTACTAAAATACCATAGTCGACATGTTATCCTCTTTTTCTCTCCCGTACGTCGATAGAAGGGCTTTCAGAAAGCTTTGCACCGTACTTCACTCATCATTTCCTTTGGTTTGAGGATACCAAAGATGGAGGGTCAGACGGCAAGGCATACCGGTGAGGGAAATAGAGAATCGCTTTCTGCAAAAGCCATTCCTTTGAATTTGGAAGCTAGCAATTATATCTTTAAGCCCTCCTCGTATAAGAGTCAATGGCATCAGGAGCTACCATCTTTACTGGTGTTACTAGTGCTAGCGAACAGTCAGGGTTGCTGCTTCCATCACATCTGAGATTTTATGTCCTCGTTTCAGCCAACTCCTCCATGAGCTCGACGTGGCTAGGCCCAGGTTTGTTCTTGACCTCACTGGTCTCGATTCCTCTCCTGAGGCCCGGCTATTGGAAGCACTGTCTACCCCCCC